TCACTGCAATACGACACCCTTCTGCGCATGGCTGCTGAATCCCCCCTGAACGCTAAGTACCCGAAGTCAGGCCTCATCTCCGCGCCCTCTAAGGCAAGGTTGTAAGTACCTACAGCAGCCATCACCCCCTGGTAGGCCACAACGGTATGCTCCCCCATATCACGCAAAAACAGTTCGGGGCCCGAGTACTACTTGGGGGTAGCCGGTTTAGCGGGAGTCCACGTTCATAGCAGCAACAAAGCTAACAGAACCGTGCATGTAACGAAGGTTGGTGGATCTCCCCCGTTTTGATGGGCGGTGCCCCGTCGGTAAATCAACAGCAGGAGAAGACTGGGTCGTAGCTAGTAGGGCTCTCTCTCTCAGCTTCTCCAATCCCTCAGACATGGGATCTCACTCTGAACTTCACCGGTCCCTGTGCAACAGTTTGCTCTCTTCCTCAACTTCTCCAGTCCCTTCAGCACGGCTTGGTACCATCTCTGGATTTCTCTAGGCTCCCTTACGTAGAATTCTGTTCTTCAATCTGGTCTATACAACAAGGAAATCCTCAGTACCCGCAAACATGCGATTGGCTCGACCACGATGATGCCCCTTGGTTTGCAACTCATCTGGGCCAGCGATCTTCATTCTGAACCAAAGGACCTTTCCGTTCTCTGCCGAGTGTCTCTGCCAACTGGGTGTTGAGCGTCAGCACACTGCTCTTGACGAGCCTCCCAAATGCTGCATGAGAAGGTGTCACATGCTGACAGAAAGACTGGTGTGACCTGCAATTACTTCCAGTACATCGCAGCCGCGGTCATAAGCAGGCAGTCTGGCTCGAACAAATGTGCAAGAGTAGTCTTGCCACGCCACAACCAAACTAAACAAAACAATAACGTACTCCCATTGAAGCTCCCCAAACCATGGTGGAGCTTCTGCGAGCAGGAGAACTGGTTGCCGACTTCGACTACGAAGTGAGTCCTCTAGCCTCTTCGGCACCACTGCAGCAGTGTGACCGTCTGCAGGCATGGCGCTACCAGGCCCTGGCAACAGCGAAACGGCACCTTGCTATGTCTTAGCAGTTGTCTTGCGGCCGTTTCACTTCCACATCTCTGTGTTTCTCTTCCTTTTCTTGCTGTTGCTCTTCTCCTCCCCTTTTCTTTCGCCAGGGTTATGGTGCAGAGGGGAAGGTCTTCCTCTCTCATTCGTTGCTTCCGCGTTTGCAAAGCCTACTCTGATAGCAGATGCCTGCTAGCTAGAAATGGGGCAGGGAAGTTCCACTCGCTCTATGCAGAAGGAAGAGTGGACTGGACTGCAACTTTACAATCTAAGCGATGAGGGAACTGAACCGAGCACGGCCAAGCAACAATTCAAGCGTACAGTACAGGCTTGCAGCTTGTTGGACGAGCTTGTGACAGCCTGCATACCAAGAAACCATCTCAAGACTGTGTCGAGTCTACCAGCTGCAGCCCAGGACTGCACTTCCAAGCTGCAGTCTTTTTCCGCTGGAGAGCGCTGCTTGACAGGGCCGCTGTGCAAGCACCGGGCCGCGGGCTGGGACTCATGCAGTAAATCCGTCTACATGTCGATCATCTGGGGCACATGCAGAGGTTGTAAAAACTCATACCTATCTGGGTTCCTGTGGGGCCAAACTGTCCGCCAGCCGTAAATTGCGAGGCGCAGGTGAAGCCGCAGGGGCCCTGTCAAGAGGGAGGCGGGAACCCAGAAAACAGGCTTCCGTCATGTCATAAACCGATCTGCCTTTATTGCTTGCCGCGGAAAGCCTGCTTTCAAAGCCCTCTGCCCCTCCCACGTTGGAAGTCTTTGGGTACAGGAAACGTACAGCACTGAAGTCCTCGCATTTACACGCGGCAGAGGTATCCACAGGCATACATGTGAGTATGTGTGCGCGTATACATATATATATGTATATATATATATACATATATATATATATATATATGTGTGTGTGTGTGTATATGTGTATATATATACACATTTATAGATATATGTGTGTGTTGTGTTCACCTGCATCTGCATGGATAACAGATATCTATGTTCTACTGCTGCCTATGCTTGTACTTCTACTTATACATATATATATATATATTTATTTATTTATTTATTTATTTATTTATTTATATACATGTGTACATATATGTATATGTTATATCATACTGTATTATATTATACTGTATTGTATTATACATACATGCATATATATATATATATACATGTGTACACGCGGAGACACCTTACATGTACATGTATTATACATACATACATACATACATACATACATACATACATACATACATATACACACATACTTTGTATCCTAATGCACGTGTCTACATTAGACACACGCCTTGTCAACCAATCTTTTCCACAACTTCAGCAAAGCTTCCAAAGAGAGACAGGTCTTGGAAACTGAGGACACCAAAGCCGGAGCTTCGAAGTTCCAGGCTGTTGGATGCTGTTGGTTAAATACAAAAAACACACCCTCGCAATTCTCCGAAGCAGCTTACTTAATGGATTTCCATCCCATGGTCTACTCTATAGTGGTATTAACATCGCCTGTGTACTCAAACAGAGGCTGCTTTTAGAGACTCTGGTGCAACGGGAAGAGGAGTCCCAGGAGACTCGACCGCACTGCTTGACATGGGTCGGCTATCTTGTCACAAGAAAACCCAACTCTTCCACTCTCGTCCTGGCTCGAAACCTGGCCCTCTCTCGCTACATGAATATGTCCAGACGTAGATGACAAAGCAAAAATAAGTGGACGTGCAAATCATGGAAATGTATGTCTGTCAGGTTACGCCGTGCCTGTTTGCCTTGACATGACAAGGTGTGCATCTGAAGCCGTGAACCTTCCGACCGGAGATTCTGTAAGAGTCGCCTAGCAATCGTTTATCCCCTCGAAGAAGCAGTGTCGGCAAACAGCACCAGGAATATCCTAGTTCGGTATTCTCAAGGAATTCGCTCCTGGATCCGGGGCCGACAGGGTGCAGGGCCCATGTGATCAGGGCTTCAACTCTCGATGCTGGGGGCCCTTGGTTGGCATGGTCCAGGTTCAACTCCCTTGAGTCTGGTACACAGAGCTAGACCGGTGAGGTGCCCTGGCCTGTCGTCATGACTCTTGGTTGATTCTGCCCAAATAACTAGGCGATGCAGCCAACCCAGGCACTCTCACCTGGCTTGCATCCGGAAGCGATTTGGTATTCGCGGGCAGCTGATGGTTCCGAGTGCGGTTCCACACGCATCATGCCTGGCACCTCTGGAAATTCCTTGCCAGTGAAGGTTTCATGTGTCGTAGACAAGACATGGTCTCGCTTTGCTTGGAGTCTTGCGGGTCGGCTCTACAAAAATCAAGGCCTTAGCAATTCGAGGCTTTGGGAGTGAGGGCCAGATGCTCTTACTCTACTCGCGCTGTATGTAGCTTGACTTATGTAGTTAGTACAGTTCCAAGCTTCTTGTCAAATCCAGGCAATAGGAACAAAGAGCTCAGGCACGGCGCAAAATTGCTATCAACTGGTGCACGGCTGACGTGAGTCTGGCATATGCCGGAGCTTGGGCTCACACGGCTGCTGACAGCTCATGATGGAATTCAGAGGTATGTAGCAGCTGCCTGGTATCGGCTTCACCTCCCGCTTGCTGCCCTTGGCTTCCTCCTACAAACCACTCCAGACACCGGAAGCTCACATCAGGCTTTTAAATGTGTGTGCCCCGCAAGGGAAGATGCACACAATTGGTATTGGCTCGCAGCCGGCGGCGGCCAGGGCAACGCAAGTCGACTTACAGTTCACATCTGCAGCCTTACGCGGAGTTGTCGCTCACGACCAAAGCCCCAAGGCTTAAGCCCACCTAAATCGGGACATAGATCGTCGACAGCTTGCTAGGCCCCTCCGTCGGATCCTCACGGCCCATGGCCAAGTCGCCAATGATTGACACAGCGCCTCCCAAAGCGAAGACAAGCGAACTGCAAGAGTCCCAATCGAGGCAACACCGCGGCATCAGTTCGAGATCGGCCCAAGCCTACCCCAAGCTCTTCATCCCAGGAAATCCGCAAGTGAAACATGCTTCGATGACGGAAACCTCCCCTTCTGTGGCCTTGTAGCACAGGTACCTTCACAGCCTCCGGCAAGAGATGGTTTTTCCGGCCTGCCTCTTTTCTGTTTGGGACAGTGTCTTTCCTGGTCTGCCTGGAGCTAAACCTCTACGGGCCGAACGGAATTTAGAATACTTAACAAGGTAGACTGCTATCGTCACTACGACGACGACGACTAAACTACTACTGCCACTGCTACCAGAGCAACAACGACAACAACAACAACAACAACAACAACAACGACAACGACGACAACAACAACAACAACAACAACTACTACTACTACTACTACTACTCCTCCTCCCCGTGCTCCTCCTGCTTTACTGCGGCTAACACTACCACTGAGCTACTACTGCTACTGCTACAGTACTGCTACGACCTCGTACTCCTCCTACTACTACCACTTCTACTGCATACTTATACTAATAATAGTAATAATAATAATTAGCAATAATATCATCTACTACTACTACTACTACTACTACTACTACTACGACTACGACTACGACTACGACTACGACGACTACTACTACTACTACTACTACTACTACTAACACAACTACTACCACTCCTAGTACCACTACCACTACCACTACTCACTACCTACACTATATACTAGATCATCTTCTACATGCACTACATATACCTTAGTTCATATATTGCATATTATCGGCTACCTATACCTTCTTCTATACTACATACAACATGCTGAGCAAACTAATTACCCCTGCTACCACTACCACTACCACTACGACGACGTTCAACAAAACACAGTAGGACTACATAGAAACAGGCCGTGACAGCAATGATGCGAAGGATATTACAACTCCCAACATCGGCCAAGATGCAAGGTCAACCGGGCTGACCTTGTGCATATGCACCTTTCAGCAAGGGCGCAGAAGGTACCGTCTGCTCAATGTGCCGGTGCTGGTTGATGTGTCTGTTGCTGTTACCTCCTGTGGACATGGACCAGGGCATTGCCCATGGATCCAC